CAATATCAACAACCCTTTGGAAAAACAATTTCTTTAATGTGCAACTAATGCCAAGCAATGGCAGGGAGAGAGCAGAACTGTCCTGTGGGTCACCTGAAATGTTTACTGTGGAAGGAGTTAAGCAGGACCACCAGTGAAAAGCTGCACAATTAGGTAGGTTCTTATGAGAAGAGATGATTCTTAAGATATACCAGTTCTGCTGGTTAGGGTTTTCAAGGCCGGAACTAGCATTTGAATTGAGCATAGGGGCAATTTCAGAACAAACAACAATAATAAAATTTCAGAGTAAAAGGAAGCCTGATGTAATGAAAGTTACCAAAACTCTTGGAAAGGGCTATAATTCAGTAACCCTGGAAAGCTGCTGCTATTCCCTGTCCTAAGTACTGGGCTAGATGAAATATCCATTACAAAATAATGTCAACATTGCCCCATACCCCCCCCCCCAAGTTTAGTCTAAGGCCTAACATAGCTCTCTTTGGATGCCCCAAAGTCTATTTTCTCATCGGAGGGCAAATTTGGGAACATAAAGCTTCCCCAATGGCAAATAATAAACAATCAAATGAAAAAAGGGTCTTATTAATTATAGATCAGTAAGGTTGGAGTGAATTGAACATGTAACGGGGCATCAAGGACTGGCACTCTGGGGCAGTTCTCCAAGCCTATAGAGAAGGGGGCATTATTGATTCTTCTTGACTCTGCTGCTCCTCCTCGCCTCGCTGTCATTACCAGATCACTTGCCATCTCCAAATGAGGAAGGAGGAGGAGAAAGAGCCTCAGCGTCGCTTGTCCTCTCCTCTGTACAGTGGTACCCATGGATGGGGTCCGTGTTGAAAGAATCTGTGATAATGAGAAGGAGATGAGCTCACCCCCACTTAGAATCAGCTTCTTCATAAAAAGGAAATAGAACCCTCCAAAGGAGGACAGCAGTTTCAGATGCTAATACAGATGCAAATTTAGAAATAATTGCTCTCAATTAAATAGAAATGCATACCATAGTATGGAAGGCTGCAGACGCTTGATCTGTTTGTCTGCTCATTGTGTTGTGCAGGTGCTAATTACTGATGGACAAATTCAAGTGCCTTGTTTTCCCTTCTTGTGGCCCTTTATCTTTAACCTGGACTTGTGCGGGGAAGCCCTTGGAATAGAAAATGTTGTCTAATAGGGGCCATTCTCTGCAAAGTGTAATTTATGGCCGCCCAGTGGCCCACTGAGATTAACTTGCCCATGAGCCTCCAAAAATATCAAATAGCACTGCATATTTGGGACAGATAATCCCAGAGAAGTATTATTTTATCAACTGGGAGCAATTAGTCCTACCATCAGCTTGTTAACAAGAAATAAGACATCTTTTTAATTAGCTATTATTGTGATCTCCCTTGCAATGTACAGTGATGTTTTAGCTGATTTCACAGCATGCTCTCTCTGTAAATTGAACACATAAAGAGTGCCTTTAGACATCCCACTGAAGGGAGAATTATGTAACATCCCTTGTGTAACTTTTGCTAAGAGCATCTCTAGCAGCTTTATGCTGATTCTCTCAGGTTTTTTATGCTGACATGCACTCTAAAATTGAAATTATATAATAGACCAACTATGAATTATGGGGATTTAAGCGGAAAGCTTGCGTCAGGCTACAATTCTAAACACACATCTTCTGAAGAGTAAGTTTTGGTGGACTTCTGAGTAAATGTACTCAAAATTGTGCTGTGTAGCTACAGTTCAGTGCACATGGGAATAAGCACTATACACTTCAATGGGTTTTACTTTTAAGTAAATGCACATAGGAGCAACTTGAGTATGAGAGAGTTCAGTAGCAGGTTCTCAAACACATCTGTTCCTTCTGCCGAAGAAGCAATATCCTTGCAGGGCATTTGTCTGTGTTGTTCCTACAGCTGAAAAGGGACATATTGGGGGTAGGTCAGAGAAAATTTTGGACCTGCAATGGTACCTTTTTCACCATTATTCTCTGTCACACCCACACACACTCTCTCTCGCTGGGTACTCTTGCCCCTTTTTGCCTGAGTGCCTTTGCAGTCGGGATCATTTAGGGCATGTTTTGATGTGGTAATACTGGGTAATCGATCAGATCTGACTATTCAATGAATTCACTGAATAAATGAAACTAATGCTTTGTCCTCATTTCTGATGGGATATCCCTGTTACTGGGGAAACCACACTGCATATCACCCCAACTTCCTTAACACTGGGATGTGTTTCCTTCCCAAGCATTTTCACACCCTTTCACTCAATTGCCAAAAATGCAGACACAAAAAGTTTGCAAAACTCAGTGCTCTTTTGGATTCATTTCATATCCAGCCCCTTTAGAAACCGCCATGTTATTTTGTTTGGCAAACCCAAATATGTCTTGTAAGGAGTCCCTTATGCTAAGCCCAAGCAATGGTTTTGTCAACTTCAGGACTGCCTGCCCTGAGAGGCAATGGCCAGACTTTGCTACATAAGATAATTCAGCTTAACTTTGCAAGTATTTTTCTGGATCCATAAAGCATGCATTTTGCTGCTGAGGTTGCATCCCATCAGAAAAATGATGGGTCAGTCCTTTTTTCTGGCTGGGAATTAAGCGCAGGCCATACTGGTGAGAATGTCAAATCTGGACCACTAGGCTAGAGATGTGTGCTTCATTGTTATTATCTCATTTCTGGAGCCAGAAGCTGGGGATGAGTGCCACTGAAATATTAATAATTCCTAATAGGCCCTTGTCACAAGAGGCATGCTTTGTGATGAGACCCCTCCCTCCTTTCTCCCTCCCTCTCCCCCTCCCTCCCTCCCACAAATGGAGAGTTAATTGAATCAATGAAGTGAACATCACAGCCATCTAGCATATGTTGACTTTCCTATCAGCCCCAGTCATTACTGCAGGACCCTTTGTCACTCATCACTGCTTGATTACACCACTTGGCCTGCAAGGGGATTTGATGGGAAGTGTCCAATGAGGGTTCAAGCTGTTTCCAAAGCCCGCTTTACAAAGCTCCAGATAAAAGGGGGATTCCATTAATGAGGCAAGAAAGGTTAGGACAAGAGGCATTACAGCAAATCTGGAAAGAGGTAAGGTGATAGTTTTCTCTGAGGCTTAGAGAACAGATGGGCCCCCAGGAGAGTAACATAAGAGCTGTTCTATTATAGGAATATGGCTGATGCATGTGCAGAGGAGGTCAATATAGCATTCTGTGGATTTGACTACAAACTAGCCAAGAAGAGAGACTTTGCAAAATAGTCAGAAGTTAGAGGTGTTTTAACTTGGCAGGCATGTTTAGTCACCTTCTGGCAAGCAACGGGGTCAGGGCTTCCTCTTCAGGCGTTTCTCTATATTCTAGTTTTGAACCTTAGTTTTTGGGGAGGTGCTTTGTGTGCTTGCAGATTTGTGCTGGGGTGGGTGATGGCACCACGTTTTCTGCAGAACAGGAGTCCTTTTTTCCAAGTCCCCGAGATTATGCAAGCTCCCAGGGAAACTGAGCAGCAAGCAGCCGAGCTAATATAGCGAAATGATGGCAGATAATGCGCATGGATGTAGTTGCCAGCCATGCACACAGGTGTTAAAGGGGCAGCTGCAGAATAAGAGCACTCCAAAAAGAGATTGCAATGAGCTTTTGAACCATCTACGATAACAGATATGTAGATATGCTGTTTTTTCATGACTCCTTGTGCGCTTGTCTGAAAACCTCAGTACATCAAAGAGTTCCATCTTTTCTTCTGCAGCTCTGCAACAGAGAAAGAAGAGAGCTGAGTGAGTAGTAGCAGCTGTTAGGAAGTATGGCCCTTTTGTTTTATGATGCCGCTTTGGGAATAAGATCTGCTTCCCCTAGAAGAGAAAATATATAGTGAAAATGCAGAGTGGAGAAGTTAGGGACTGGAGGAAATTGCTAGCGTATTTTACAAGGTAACAAAAAAGCTGTGCTATTGATGAGTGCAGCCTGGCAGCTCAAATAATAATCTTTTGTAGTTGTTTAAGTTGCAGAGGCTCCATGTACTTTTAAAGCAGTTGCTGTTTTAATTTTCATTTTGCTTATATAGTTCTGGCTTTTCATTGCCTGCAATATAGCATTAAAATCTGAAGCTGTGGCCCAGTTTTCATAAACAGAACTTTCTGGACTTCGCTGCCAATTTCTTTCCATGGCAACCCCTCAAGTCCCCTGAAAACACTATGTGTAGAATCAGGAGATCTGCTGAATGGGTTGAGCTGGGAAAATTTCCAAAAATTAGACCCTTCTATGAAAAGAGGGCTTGCAGAAGGTCCCTTTTAGTCATGGAAGTCAGATTTTGGGTGCAAGTTCAGATAGAGTAGTAATCCTGTATCTGGACTGTATCGTTTCAGACAAGATGAGGGATCACCTCATTAATTGCTCTTTTTCATGAAAACATTCCTTGCAGGTAAGACACTAGCATGTCAGAAAGAACACTTCTAATGTAGATTCTCCCTGGCATCCTTCTACCTGCAAGCTGAAGTGGTACAGTCCGCAGACAGATTTACCACTTCATCTGCTGTTTGTAAGATCTAAGCCAATTTCACTAGGTAATTGGATTCTCAGCTTGGGTAGAATGTGTACATGATCTGAGAAAGCAGCAGAAGAAACAAAACTATGGACACTACCATCTCCTTATCTGAAATAATTCTCATGGGTGATTTTTGCATTAAAATATGATTCACCCGGTACTCAGAGGAAGAGCAGATGAAGTCAATTGACAAAATGCAATCAAATCCTGAGGAAGAAATACAGCAAATACTTCCTTTGAGATAAATTTTTGACACTTAATGACTTTCACAAGCAAATGAAAATGATTTTAATCAGAGGCATATAATGCAAGACTTTTATAGCTCTGTATATCTAATACAGTCTAATGTATGTATGATATTTAGGTTTATATAATTCACAAAAGTGGAAGAGAACACATTTTACTTCTCTTTTGGTTATGTCAGGGGGACCTGCCTTTATATATTGGCTTCTTCAAAACTAATCTCATATCTTCTTTTCCTCTCCCAACAGTTATCCATGAAGGAGGTTGGGGACGGGCTGCATGAACAGATGAACTGCATGATGGGTGCTCTGCAAGAGCTGAAACTCCTTCAAGTCCAGACAGCTTTGGAGCAGCTAGAGATTTCAAGCCACCCCAGTCAGGTTTCAGGAGTTGGCCAGCATCAGTATCATCTGAACAACCAACAGGTGCCAAGGGCTAGGTGTGAAGCCAGCAAGCAGAGTGGGAAGCTTCCAGGTGACACTTATTCTGGCAGTTGCAGTTCTTCAGCATTTTTGTGCTCAACTCCAGTCTCGCAACCCACCAGCCCGCATTACCATGCCACATTGCCAGACATCAGCCATGGGCATATCACTTCATCCCTTAATAGCATAAGCAGCGAGGACTACTATCATGCCAGTGGACCGCCATCAACTGTGAGCACTGCAGAGTACCATTCACCGAGGACATACGAGTCATCCAGCAAGCACATGTCTAGAAGTTGGATTTCCCAAGACACAAGCAGTTTTTTTGAGAGTAAATCGGGATGCAGAGAATGTCAGTTCTCCAATGAGTCTAATGACTGGACTTCTTCACTAATGTCTCAAAGCAGGAATCGACAGCCTCTGATCCTGGGTGACAACATCTTTGCAGATTTGGTTGGAAACTGGTTGGATTTGCCTGAAATAGACAAAAAAGCAGAGAGGAATGAGACATCCTTGTCAAGCAGCAAGTCCCAGGAGTTCTACAGAAAGTTCTCCCTCACGGCCAATATCTTCAAGAAGTTCTTAAGGAGTGTTCGGCCAGACCGAGACAGGTTGCTCAAGGAGAAGCCATGTTGGCTGCCAACAGAAGACAAAGAAGCAGAAATCTTAAAGAGGCCCAAAAAAGTAAATAAACAGAAGGGGACCTTTTACTTCCCAGTCCATGGGAACATACCAAACTCTCATGACAAAGCAGACAGGTGCCAAAAGAAGGAAACAAGCAAGGTCAAGGCCAAACATTGTTCCAAGAAGATGCACAACACAATTGAACACACTCAGTCAGGATTTGATTTTAACACAGCTGTATGGGTCTGAACGTCACACCTTGTTACCTCCTCAATCAAAATGGTTCCATCCCAAATCGGAGATAAATCAGTGTGAGAAAGGGAAAAGAGAGATCTAGCAGACCTGTGAGGAAAGAGAATAGGAGGTCCTCTCCATAAAATATGCATTGACACAAATCACTTGCACAACTACAGCTTGTACACCTAAAGAGTGTCGGATTTGGAGATGCGGAAGCTCTTCAAAGCCAGTGCTCAAGAAGCCCTTCACAGTTTGGGGGCCAGAGGACAGTCTTAATCAGGCCTGGTCCTCTGTCCTTCCATTTATATTGGCTTCATGTTTGCCAAACCCATTCAGTTCCTCTCTAATTCAGGTAGTGACAGAATGTTAGATCTGTTTGTGTGTGTGTGTATTATTTTTTAACTCTTGTGTGCACTAAATCCTGGATTATGCACCGGGCAAATGAATAAGCACTTGATAGCTAAATTAAAAGTGAAACATGAATTCATGAGAATAGAAAGAATGTGGAAATTGAACAATGGTTGAGTGAAGCTGGTTCAGCCAATCCCATGGCATTTTAAACTTTTTTTTTTTACCTCCAAAGCATTTTTTCAGGTTCACCCATCATGATCTGTACAGTACTGGAATGCATCTAAGAAGTGTTATATAGTAAGTAGTAGCCAACCTATCACTGCAACTTTAGGATTAGCAAAAGTCCTTCACCTCTTCATCTTGCCCTCAGAGCCTTAAACTCTGGATGCCACACTGAGGTCCCAAGTTGAAATAGACCTTTCCCTGGTTTAGTCCAGTTTGCTTTTCTTAACCATGTATAAATTTTGTCTTGTGAGTTCTCCAATGGTCCAGCTCTCCAAGAATTTATTAAATAAAGCAATGTTCTTCTCTCCACATGTGCTTTGGTGGGATGTTTGGACATTCTGCACTGTGATGCAAACTATGCCAACTATTTGGACATGGTGATAAATTCAAGGAATTTCCCAAAATGCAGTATCATCACCACCACATATACATCCTTGCAAATAAATGCATGAAAGAACAGGACATCACTGTTGTGTATCTGTTGAGTATTTGTGAACTAAACCTGTAAGCCAGAGCAGTCCCTGTGGGCATGCAAGTTCCTCCATGTGCAGTTAGAGCATCTTGGGATTGTTCTTTGTTACTACAGGTCCTCGTGCTTCCTCAGTTTTCAGGAACGCTTTCTCATACTGCAGCGGTTAGGGGAGTGGCTTTCAAAGGAGAAGCCATGCTCTGCATCCAGGGCTCACCGTGTGATGCTTTGAATTCTGGCCTATGAAAGAAGTGTTGCCCCCAACTACAGGGCAGGGTTTGGAAAATGTAACATAACATATTTCTGTGCAACGCTAAAGTATTCCCCGCACAAGGACAGTTAACCTAACCTCTGTACAAATACTGTACTGAGGTGTTTGAGCCTTTTTGGAGCGAGTTTTGTTAGCATGGTGACCAAATACTGTAATATGTTTCAAGCTCGATCCATGTTTCAAAAGTTTTCTAGGAGGCTTGACAATTGCAGTCTTGTCAAAGGCTAGAGCAACAGTTAAGAACTTCCTTCAGCCCAAGGGCTGCATTCAATTTTGGAGGAGCTCTTGGAGCCTCTATTCCAGTTAGCAGGCAGGTTCAGAATACCCCAAATGCCAGACTATTTTAACATTAAGTCACCCACTAGGCCTTAGGAGACACAGTTTGCCCTTTTAGAATGGGGAAGATACACTAAAGCTGTGTGAAAAAGGCGGAAGCCACTTAACAACATGGCTGAAATGGGCATGGCCACACAGAGACATCTGGAGAGCCAGATTTGGACCACCAGATGTACAGCTTTAGACGATAGACTTGAATTTCAACACCTCATCCTAAAGACAAGTCCTTGCAAAATGAGTTATCATGTTAGGAAAAGCAACTGATGGAAGTGTTGCCACATGAAGAATCAATGTAGAAATAATCCCTGAAGTGGCATTCAGACTCAGTAATATCCATGTTTCAGATCTGTTAACTAGCTTTTATTCCATGCCATGATCCAGAGCTGTTTGCTAACTTTGGCCCATTACTCTCTTGTGTACATGGAGCCTCCTCTTCCTTTCAATGGATGGAGCAATTCTGTCCTGGCAATGGGATGCTCACTTGGTTTTGCTAAATCTTAAAGCTGTTTATTTAAGATTGCAACTGGGATACTTTGATTCACATACCCTGAGATTTTGTACCAAAACTTGTAACATCTTCAGTACGGTCCTTTAAAAGTTGTTTTTCACTAACAGCAGAACTGTGCTATTTTTTCATTACTTTTCAGTGATGCTAAGCCATGGGAGGAATTGAAAAATAAATAATGTCAGTGCTGTCTAATAAAGTCATGTTGCTATTTCAGCTCTCTAAGACAAACAGACAAGTTAGAAGTGCCATCATAAGACTAAATCTGAGTTTTTCTCCTCCTGTAATGGAATTAAACATAGGCACAAGACTAGCACTGTTTTTTGACCTTACAAGGAATCAAAAGCTTGTGAAGGATCAACTGTGGGCATAGAAATATGCATGTACTTGCTCTCGTTTCCAGAACTGGAAGCACTTTCTAGTTTTCTCTCATTTCCCACCTAATGAACTGGCATCTTTTAAGATACCACTATATCCCCCAAATGGTGGTTAGCTATACTTTAATGCTGATAATAGCCCGGCAAGTCGGGTACAAGTACTTCCTATAAAGAATGTGCAGAGTTGGGTTCAGGTCAGGATTTCATTATGGCCACTAATAAGGTCAGGCTCAGCTGACAGGTCTCACAGAAGTTCTGCGATGATTTCCTCTGCTTTGTTTCTTTAACCTAAAGCAGCCTGAGCATGCTGAATAGGAGGGGAGAGAGCAAAGAGTTTGCTCCAGCCACTCCCCACTGCTCATTTTCTATCTCAGAATCAGCTTTCACCAATCTGCTTTCTCATCCACTGGGGCAAATATACAGGAAGCCCATATTCTGCTGTGCCCCATGCCCCATACCATTGGCCCGAGGAAGGAAAACATGTGAGTAGGGGTGCGTGGTTTTGAACTCAAAGTGCAGAAGGGGAAAGGTTAAGCAGCATCTCTCTTACTGCCCAGGTTTAGATTCCTCCCTCCCCACAAAAAAAGCACTTTGGGTTTGATATGCAACTTTCAGCAGACTATACAAAGGATAGTTCTACCAATAGTTCCTTCATAGCTTTCTGTCCCTTTTAAAGAACCCCTACAAGAGAAGCCGGAAAAGATACCATACAATGATCCAACAGCTGGCCATCCGAAGTGAAGAACATCCAGAGTGATCCAATGGAATAAAGAGATATTAAAAAAAAATAGGTGCAGTTTTATACGGATGGGCCTTCTTCAAAGGTCAGTTTTAATACAGAAATGCTGGGATACCTGAGTAAGATAGTTTCAGAATCTTGGCTATTTCCTAGAATCAAATCACACATATTGTTCAACATTCTAAGAATTCTCTTTATTCCATCTGTTAAAAGCATATGGAGCATAAAAACATCCTCAGCCACCTTTTAAAGGTGCAGAAGGATGAGTTTTGGCTCTTGGATGGTATATAAATTAAATAAATAAATGGTCAGGTGGATGGTGCAAATTGCCATTAAAGAGCCTGTGAAAGTAAAGGAATGATGATGTATCAAAAGATTAGGTTGTGCCTTAGTACAAATAGCAACTAACACGAGATTCCAGGAGATGCAAGGATAGCCAAGGCCCAAAGGTATGTTCCAGAAAGCAGTGTATAGACTGCCTTCCCAAACCTAGGCCCCTCCAGATGTTTCAGTTCTTTCCAATGGTCAAGAATGCTGGGAGTTGCAATCCAAAACATCTGGACGGCAGTGGGTTGATGAAGGAGCAACATGGCATGCAGGAGATGCATGTACAACTGGAGGGAACTCATTGCCACATGGCTTTAAGGCAGATAACTAGTGAGATTACAGCCAACATTTATGGATTGAGTGTAGGTACAAATGACACCTCCTGGGCTTTTCAGGAAGCATGAAGAATACATTTGGGGATCATCCCCATGCCACATTTCAATGGATTCCTGACATTTTTGCCTCTTTGTTGTAAACACTGCTCAGACTGCCTGCTTCTAGAAGACCAGAAGAAAGCCACTCCTGCCCTGCAGCTCCAGGATTTATAAATAAGGTAACATGAACCGATCTTGCCATGGCACATGGTTGCTCACAAATGGTTTAAGCCCCCACAACAACAGCTGTCAGTGGTGCTGTTTTCCTGCTGTCTGACAAGGAAGCCAACTGGAACTTCTCTTGAGAAAGAGACCTTTTGCCCCTCCTGTCTTTCCCTGACAGCTGCACTGAAGGCATCAGAACACTGTCCCTTTTATATGATATGGGGAGGGGGAGGAGATATTAGAGAGAGAAAGGATTGCAAATGGAAATTGTACCCCTGCATCACGTTGCAGCTGAGGGACCCTCAAGACAGTGAAATAAAAGATGTTTCCCTTGGCTCTGAGAAAATCTTACAAGTTTGAAGAGGAAAGAGAAGTTCAAAAGTCTCCTGCATGTCTTCCTGTATACTGCACAGAATGTCTAATCTTTGGGTGCTGTATAATGGAAGTCACTCCTGCATGCACTGACAAGATATATCCTGCTAAAGAGCTTGTGAAGCAAGGTGGCAATCTGTGTGAATCTGGGAACATTTCAAGGGTACCTCAGCTTCCCCCACAATGCTTTGGTTATGGCCCAGAGTCAGTTTTGGAGGTAAGCCCACTTGCGCACCTATATCTATCTGAACCTACTACAAAGGTCTCGCACCACTAACACAGTAAGCACCCAGCACTTGATTTGGATTGGCACTTGCTGCCGAATGGTTCCCAGGGGACATCTGGCAATGCAAAGAAGTGGAGTGTTCATGCGCCAATCCCAGGGAGAGCAGCAGCCGCATGCGGTCTGGCAACAGAGGGCAGATCCCACAGAGTATACTGAACCAGACAATCCACTTTGGGGAAAGCCAGCACTGAAAATAAGATAGCTCTCAATCTTCAGGGTCAGCCTGAGTAAATTTAGGTAAGATCACAACCCCACCAGATACCATATTGCATTGATCTTCATTGGTGGGCCTCTTCCAAAGGGAGCAATTTTGGAGTATTGAATAGTCTGGCATAGCTCTGTCCTGTCATTCTTAATTTTGTAGACTTTGCTGGATCTCTGTGTAGAAAATTTGACAGTGCTATTGCTTCCTCTTATCTTTAATTAGTTAAAAAAGAGCGGGGAGAGAGGGAAGGAGGTAGGTCAGATAGAAGGAAGGAAGGATAGACAGGCAAGCTGCACCATTCAACTTCCCCTCTTCTGTGCAACTGTTAAGGCTACAGAACTCCCTTTTGTCTTCATTTGCAAGGGGTGGTTTCCCTAGAAAACGAGGGATGATGACCTGAAAACACCTCAAGAGAACCTCTAGTGTGGAAGCTTCTTTTGCTGCTATTTCCTATCACTAATTGGAAATAAGAGATTTTTTTAAAAGCAAGAATATCAAAACAGTAGATCCCATATTAAAAACTGAGCTTAAAATAGATCTGGAAGCTTGAAGGCTACTGTCATCTTGCACTTAAAACAGTTGTAGGTAGTAGATTCCAGATATCAGTCTAGCTGAGCACAGTGTTCCTCTTAATGGGCCTGTGTGAAGCTAATCCATACGAACCAAAGGTCTGCCTTCACAGCATGCTAGAAAGTCCATGAACTACAGCCATCTGTTTGCTCCATCACATGACCAAGAGAAGTATGTTATAAGGCTTGTTCTTCCCCCAAATCCCAACCTCATCCTGCACGGAAAGCTGACCTGGCTGGAATCAGTGACAGTTCACAGACGGGTTGTTGTAACAAATTCACCCCATGCTTGAAGCCAGTTTTGGGATCACGCAAATTGGCGCTGAAACTGTCAGGAACCCGAACCTTAGACGGCATCTAGATGGGAGGCCAAAGGACTGCTGGAACAAATGTAATTTGTATGGAAGGGATGATTAGTGAGTCAGAGCTCTAGTTCTGGCAGAGTCACCGAGAGATGGCTGGCAGCATTCCCAAAGAGAAGAGTCAGCATCAACGCTGTGCAGACTGTGAGGCAGACCGGAGGCGCACAAAGCAAGCTGCAGCCTTGCACCAGCTCCATCTAATCTCAGCTCACCGGACTTTCCCATCAATTTGGGCTGGTGGGGCCCCATTCATTACTTGGAAGCAATCATTATTTGCTGTCCCACTGTTCTAGTGACTTTTCCTGGAAATAATAATAAAGGGCTTTTCCCTTTCCTGGTGGTATTTCCATAAAATGATTCGCCATTGTTAGGGATTGGATGGGCCTAATTAGCCTGACAGAGGTATTTAATGAGGCACCATCAGATTCTTGCATCTTGAAAAGGATTTGTAAATGCAAAGCACATTGCACAATAGTGCCATTACCTCTCACCCCACCCTATTAATTACAGTACAATCTCCCCCAGCCCAGCAGCTCATTTCACAGAGCTTATGTGAGGAATAATAAATGGAGTGCAGGCCTCTAGATGCATTAGAAATTTCCATTTTTTTCTGTCACAGGCATAGGTGTGTATAAGAAATTTGTTTAATTTTGTTTTTTATCAGTCTTGACCACATTATTTGCATCTTCTAGACCAAACACGGACTAGTACACAATCTTCAGTCCAGGTTCATACATTTCCAAGCATTCAGTATGCTTTGCAGACCAAAAGTAGGGAGTGGGGGTCATGCATTCAACTACATGCATGCATTTGAAAAATATGCATGAAAAAATACGTATTTTATTTATAATGTGCCCAGATGGACTTCAATCAATTACTTCTGTGTACATACAGATTGTCATGGGAAGAAGGAATCATATCTCATAAACTGATACAGACTCTAGTTTGAATAAATTTGAAATGGAATTCAGAGAACTTGGGTGAGCTAGAGTTTTGTAGCTTCACACATCCCTATCCAAGAGCCAACGATCAAAAGAGCATGAGCATCACTTTGTTACTGGTGCTGTTTGTTTGGGTAAAATTCTAGAGTCACAAAATTAGAGGGGAGCAGAGGAACATTATGAGCCTGCCTGAACAGGGATGCTCCACACAATAGTTCCTTTTGAATAAAAGCAGAAAAATCCAGACCACAAGGTGCCACAGCTGGACAGCAGGTTCGGCCTTTGGGCTATTGAGCAGTTTAGAAATGTAATAAATAACATTGACAAATCCGAGTCTGGGATCCTGTGGGGAACTTCCACAGATGCTGTCAGTCTCCATGAGCAGTGGGTAATGAAACATGAGAGGAAGGACTAGAGCTGACCCTCTGATATTGCATCTGCGTCATCTGCAGACAGAAAACCTGAACAGATCCCCTGTATTTCCAATATGCCAGTCTGGCTGCATGAATAGGCTCATTATCAAAAGCTAACTAGGAAGGGATCTTTTTGAAGACCTCTTTCCCCTTCCTATCATACT